ATGGACTTCTTCAGATGTTGCTTCTCTTTTATTTGTACTGGTGTCGCATTATGTGCGTGTCAGGACTCAAGTCAAAGTGGGAGGCATCTTGATATTCCATAAGGATTGCTATGCCAAGGTAATGCTCTGTTTCGCTGCAGCATTCTGTATTAGGCAGACAGTTACAACTTTGTAGATGAACAAGACCACATGACATACCGAGTTTACTTAAGCAAAATCTGCGTACACTATTTTGATAGAAGACGACTCAAGAGCAGCACTGTTTCGAGACGGCTCCACCAAATACTGAACTTGCTGTATTTTCTGCTGTGACCCGTAATTTAAAGCTTGGCAGGTGGCAGCAGCCCTCAATTGATGCTGACAGCTATTGGTAACACTTTGCTTCAAGAAAATATAAACACGATAACAAAGACATGAAATGCGTCAACACAAACACGATAGTCGACCGCAAAAAGCAATCACTTTGAATTAAACAAGTTGACCGTTTGCAACTCGAGCAGCTTTTTAAACGTAACTCACCGAATCGTGAAACTAAACCATAGTTGAATGTTACACTACTTGATTGGCGTTGGAAGTGAAGGTGACGCCGAGAACGCTCAGTGCAAAAAATTGCGCGCGTCGCAATGACCCAACCGATCTATCCGTGCGTGCAAAACCCTTTGCAGCACTTAGCGAGTCCATCTCCAGCAACGGGACGTCCCGAACATATTTGTGTTGCGGTTGACATAGCCGGGGGCAGGTGATATCCGGGACAGAAGGGACTGCAGTCGAGTTCTTTGCAGCTCTTTTTACAGCAGTCTGCAGGGTTCTTTTGATTGCGGCAATCCGCACTGAGGTTGTCCCGCCTTATAGCATCGATACTTTTACACAGGGGCTCACCAGTACAAGGATGTTGATTACTAACATCGACTTGACTGGTCACGGGACCACTGATGATGGCGGCGGTGACGATGGACAGTACGGCCTTGAGGTTCATGAAAGGGTAGGATTTAAGCTTGAGTGCTGAATGTGTTGGGCTGCGCACTGTTTGGCAAATAGAACAATGGCATGTGTGAGTGCGTTGCTCGAAGTATAGCGAGCCTGACGTGGAGTTTCTTTTTAAGTGGACAGGAGACATGCACCATACAAAGGACGAGATTAGCACCATCATTTGTGCACTTTACAGACCTGTTATTTATAAATCAGGGCTGAGTGAGTATAAATCAGATGGCTCTGTTAGCTTGGATTCCCGTCTGCTCTTGTTTAAAAGTGTGCGTAAACTTTTAAAGGGTGAGGACAAGCTGTCGAGATCGAGCGACAGGATGGGGAAAGCAATTTCGACGATCGATGAAAGGTTCGGATTTTATTCTGATCTTTGGTCCCTGACTGATACTCTCATATTCACTATGACTGATATCACTGGCGTCACTCGCAGCCGTTTTATACTACTTTGCCTGGCTACTCCAACATGCGACAGCGGGTACATATCGATCCTGGCCTGGATTTGCTCCGCTGGATTTATCGCGCAGCTTCAATCTAAACAGACGCAACCGGGTTGGAGGTGTTGACACAGGTATGATCGAACGGGAGACTTTTGATGCACTAACATCATTGCCGGAATCCACCAACATTTTCAGCTTTTTTTTGGTTTGCCCATCCCAAACTGTGCCGACTCTACGTTAGGCCGGATTATTGAAATGCCAAGAGTATTTTAAGCGAAGAGCCATGGTGTTAGGCCGTTTCTTCTTCAGTAACCCCACATCGTTCATATTAAATTGTTGAGCCCTCAATCTTCCTTCTCTGGCATGCCAGCTTTTAGTGATGTTAATGATGCTATTTATTGCTGCTTCGCCATGGAGCTTCGATAAAGTTCTACCAGCCGATCACGCAGGTAGTCATAAGGGAGCCGCTGGCACCGTCAAGATCGTACGTCATTAGCCAAGGCCTCGCCTTTAGCATTCTAAGTAGCAATTTGTCTCATACTCTGCGCTTTCATCTGATGTACCGAGAGAAAAACGGTGCTTCTAGATAAAGACGATGCAACGGCCAGCCCATGCCTTGCAAGACCGGTACGCTACAAAGGTGGCGGCTGTTTCGATTCTATGCACAGGCTGAAAGGCCCACACCCGACGAAAGTGTAACTCGACGTTTTCATGGAATAATTGCAGTAATGGCTACAATCCTAAAGTAATAACATGACCATTCTCTTGGTGGAGCAATTTAGAGGCATACTGATGCAAAAGTCGTTCCAGTCCATTTGCTGGAAGCTGTTTTACCGGGACGAACATATGTGCAAGCTTGACGCTTTCGAGTTAAGTGCGAGCACGTTAGGCCATTATTGCTTGTCAGCATGACATTCTTGTCAAGAGCGGTATTAAAATATACAGGGAAAGTAGCTGTCAACCTTTTATAATATAGACTGTCCGCTTTCCTTTTGGCCTTGTTCCTGTCTGCGTGTGCTGTAAGTCAAAGTGTCTAGTGTAATTATCACAGCACTGGGCAATTAATGCTTTAGAAACATGTACTCATCCACGGTCACGTACCCATGGTCGCGAACATAGTCGACCTTGGCGCTCTATCTACGTTGACGGGTTGATGAACGAAGGCAAGTGTCAACGCGTTGATGTTGTCTTCATGCGCGGCCACCATCACTAGGAATCGAGAAAGTGGCCCTTCATTAAACAACTTTTGGCAATCTAATAATCAGGCCCAATGAATAGCCGGCACAGTTTGGGATGGGCAAACAAAAAAAAAGCTGAAAATGTTGGTGGATTCCGGCAATGATGTTAGTGCATTAAAAGTCTCCCGTTCGATCATACCTGTGTCAACACCTCCAACCTGGTTGCGTCTGTTTAGATTGAAGCTGCGCGATAAATCCAGCGGAGCAAATCCAGGCCAGGATCGATATGTACCCGCTGTCGCATGGGTAACTCTATTTACTTCACAATTTATTGCGAAATGCAGTAGAGTCTCCGTAATTTATTATTCTCTTTGTTAAAAAATCTCTCATTTATAATAAAAAGGTTGAGTCTTATGTTGGGCCCTACCCATATAATGAAACCTTTCTGATAATTTTTATTCCAGCCTGAGAAACTTTTTCATCAAAGATTATTAAACTGCTGCCAGGGGAACACTACAAAACATTATCCTTTGCGCCAACCAGAAAGTCTTGAGCTCTGCAAGCATCGATGCAGAATTCTGAAGAGGGACGGGCGGTGCAGCCACGCTATCGTCCTCCTTGCTAACACGTAAAGCACCATTCGCTTCAATCCTATCCCTTTAACTCTTCCATTTTTACAGTTCTCTTATTTAATCAAAATTTGGGGTAATAGCCATATTAAAAAGAGGAGAATCAACTAGTGTGCATATGAAGTCTCCCTGATTGTACGCCACCAAGTTGGGAACTCGTTTAGCGTCCTTTTCATATCCGATCCAACCACATTCTCGAGCTGCGTCGACGCGTCGTTGATGAAGTTAAACGAGTTCTTTGAGCTTCAGCGCACGTTATCCGAAGACGGGAGAGTGGCCCTGCATGACTAAAAGGAGCACATGTATTGACTATCCTGCTTTTATTGAAGCAAGATTTATTTACGGCAATTGTCGGCATGGCAGAAACCTTTCGTTATGAAAAGCGACTAAAGGCGTTGGTGAGGCATGCAAGCTCCTTGCGTGAAGTCGACGCGTACAACGAGTACCCTTTTAGGTCAATATCAACTGCAAACTTTAATAGAATGAAGTGAGGAGGCTTTAGTACCATAATTCGAATGTGCTACAAACACGTGGGAGGACTATCAGCAAACCAGCGTATACAAGGGCACTTCACTCGATCCGATCTGTATACTTGCTTGCGTTCTATACATCCAGTGCTATCTGTCGACTTCGACGACGTCCTGCCAATAGTTTCAGCTATAGCATAATCCATTTTGTGAGCGCTACCATCTATGAGTAGATAGACCACACTCTCAAGCGTGATCGTCAAATGCATGGAACTTACTTCAATGATGATCCTTAGTGCTCCAAGTAGTGATCTTTATTCAGGCCAATAGTCAATTTAGCGGAAGAAAAGGCTGAGACGAATTGTTCAGGGTAAAAGACAAAATCACATAATGAAGTCTACTCGAGAGAAACATGTGCCGATTCCAGTGGCCGAGTGGTAGACCGCTGGAACTGGCACCGGGAAGTACCTGGATCGATTCCCGACTGGGGTTCGATTACAGGGCGCCGGAGATAGGCCGATATAGTAGACGAGCAACCTCGCAGAAGTGGCCGCCCTGCCAACCCACGCAAGGCGGGGATAGTTGGGTGGGCTGGAGGCCCTACTGACCGAAAATCCCCATAGTGTAATGAGGGGTGCGGGTCCTGTAAGGAGTTCAAACTGAGTTACAGTACTCGCAGTTCACCCGAGAGTGATCTGAAGGACCGCGCGGCATTAATCTCAAAAGAAAACGTGAAAATTTGTCGCGAACAACCGCGTCCTGTACACGCATCTGTCGTGTTCCGCACGCGGATGTGAGTCTTTGCTACGAGCTTTTGCTATTTGGCCTGCGCTTCTACCAACCACCAGCACCTCGGTTGTCGACCATACCCGCACCGGTTCTCCCTCCATTGTTTAGTGCGCTAAAGAATGACAGAAGTCTAAGGCCGCTGCAGTGCTCCCATTTGCGATATGGTTCTTTCCCTTCAGATTCCATGCATTTACGGGGTCATACGAGTGCAACTCGAATGTTCACGGGCGCAAGGCCTTGCGTCCGTCTGATCTGTCGTGTAAAGATGTATACTGCTTTTCTCCTCCTCTTCTGGGAACGCTGCTTGCGAGTGCTGTTGTCAAGAAGATGCGATGTTGGTTTCGTCCTTTCTGTTAATTCGTCGTTTTAATCGTGACCTGTCCTCCTTGTGTCTAGCCATCCGCACCCGCTTCGTGCTCTACAGCCATGGCTTGGCACATCTAGGCGTGAAACGACGTCACGCGCAGGGCTCTCACGTAATCGCACCAGGTGCTCTTCTCATACGACGAAGATGTTCTACATTTTAGTCAACAGCTGGACCTCCTGCGTGTCCGCTTTGCATTGCCCTCGCTCGAAGCTCGTCGTGGAGAGCATGAGCGACCGTCGACCATCGTCTTGATACAGCACAGGCACGTGCATGTGCTTCATCGAGCTAAAGATGCATTCAGCTGCATTTGTGGATGTTACACACCACTGGAAGGTTGAAAGACACATGCATTACGCTAGCACTTGTCGGAGCTGACGCCAACATTGATGCAGGCGCTTTGTCTTGGCGAGCGTCGCTCAGTTTGCACACCCGACTTCCACTTTTTGCGGTCTTCGGAAGCGTCGATGGTCGATCTTTTGCTCAGCTGCTGCCTGAGAGTGTACGTTAGCGACAAGTTGATCGGGACGTACTGGCTTTGCGGTAAACGCTGCATTTGTGCAAGACGTGCTTTTTCAACTTGCCTGCGTGCTAAAGCTCGAACATAGGAGACTTGATCCCGGCTTGAAGATGAGCCATACTGGCTTATCAGGGTTACTTGATTCAGGGTGTACAAAGTGTGGGGGGATTGCTGTCACTATGTTCTGCAGCGTGAGCTTGTCCATGAGAGGATTAACACTTAGACGATCGACGGTGTGTCGTTGCTCATGGCAGCTGAAGGTACAGTATAATTAACGACTTGTAGGAACTTTATTCACGAACTGAAGCAGCGTTCCCCATAGTCACGATCTCTAGCTGACGTCGATATCGGACACTGGCCGTCATTTTGCGTTTGCGTTGTGCCAATGGATGACTTGGACATGCCCTCGCAATCGATAGATGGCCAGCTCGCTGATGTACCCGAGTCACAGTTTACGTCTCTCAGCAGTGCGTTGCCTTGTCAATTATCGAATTTGATTAGCGCTCCGCGCGTGTAGTTGTTGTCGGAACGACTGCGTTGACTGAACTGAATGTACTACCTGTAGCAAAGCGTGCTACGAGTTCGGCAAAGCTATGGACTTTTGTCGCCCCAACTGAGCAAGCCCACCGTGACATTCTGCAACGGGACCTGATCAGGCTTTCACACGAAGAGGAACAGAAAGTAAGGGCAATGATCACGCAGGAAGTCCAGCGTCGCTTTTGGTAGTACTAAGCGGGGGCTGCCTTGCAAACGACCTAGTACGTATCTGTCGATACGCGATTGCTCAAGCGCATGCCACATCGACCCTCAACGGCAACTTAACCGAATCATCTGCCGGTTGGTCTGATTTGTTGCGAGCTCAGCAGCAAAAGCAAACGTGTCATCGTCGGGTAAAGAGAGGATGGAAAGTTCAATTTGGCTATGCTGCTGTTCGACAGCAATTGCGGGACTTTATCAGTCGAAGGTGTTACCCGACTGCAGCGATGAGGTACATCTGACGCGTTTGTTTACTTTGGGTATCACACCGTCCCTCGTTGACAACACTGATCTTTGTAGCGCTCGGGTACGTCCTAGGCGTCGGGAATATAGCTGTTAGGTCATCAGGCTGCGGTAAGACTCTGCTTGTGCAAACCCTGACAGCTTACGCCCGAGTCAACTTCGTATATACACGGGTTGGAAAGACAATGAAATCCAACTCACCTTCACATATACAATCAGCAGTTAACTCAAATCCTGTCCTCAGAGTTGTTGTCCAAGCACTTTGGCGATAGCAAAAAAAAGCAGTGCACCAGCTCTTGGTACGTCTTTGACGCATTTAACCCGAGTCTTTCCAGGAGGACTTGCTGTGTGCCTTTAACAAATGCTTGCTCGCAGCTCGAGCTTGTTCGACTCACCTTGTCTCTTGGTGTTGTTGCCTTTATTTCCATCTCTCACTAGCAATCGTTTGGCGAAAATGACGAAGGCAGCAGTGGTGGACAAGTCTACGCCCGAGTGCTACCCCTCAATCCTTAACGAGATGGACGGCGTAGGCTCGCAACAAGTGAGTGTATTCAACTCAAATGTCAAGAAGTCGCCTGCTGCCGATCGCCGTGGCTCCTCGTCGTGGCCGCTACAACCGGAAAGATGCGCCAGACGCCGCCCTGATTGGTCTTGGACGAATTGACAAGAATGTCAAGTTTAAAGTTCCAACGCAAGAAGAAATGAAGGTACGCAGCACCAGCTAGAGGGGTTATATGTGGGACGAAGATGACGATTTAATGCGTGTGTCAAGTAGAAACTTCTTGCTGTCTACACGAGCAGAATGTCGCTCGCTACAAACGTCGGCATTCAACAACTTGCGGCGCAACTAAAAGAGCACAGCACACTACAGTCGTGCCAACTGCTACCGCTTAGAAGCTTTTTTTTATGCTTACTCCACTGACCTCGCTATACGTGTCAGTTATAGCTCTCAAACGATCGCAGGTGTTGATATTGCAGAATATGCAAGAAAGCGGCCTTCCGCGGCCTTTACGAAGGTGTCGAGGCAAAGACGGTTTGTGTACGGCACTTTAAAACTGCATGGGAGCAGCGCACTAGGGTGCCCCAGGTCATCGCAGACTTGGACTCCTCGAATCCCAAGCCGCAATGTGGCCGTGAGCTAAGCTATGGCAGACGACAATATCGACATCCAGCTAGCTGATGGCACTGGACGTCAGCGTGGTGGGGACGCGGTGTTGCGTATGATTTTGTGTTCATGACGCAAGTTCTTACTGCGAGCCAATGTCGCCGTCTCGGCCGACCTTTGACACTTCGCACTCGGGTGGAAGCCTCCATTCCTCTTTTGCGTGAATGAGATCGCCACGCCTTGCCCAATGTGTCAGCGATCGTGATACGGGTGCAGTAGTAAGTGTAATCTCACGTGCTCTGCTAGGTGGATGACCATCCAATCATGCAACCACAGTTCCGAACGGGAAAAGGCTGGCAGGAGGAGATGAAAGGGGGTTCGCTTGCTATGCAGTGACTCCCGTGGCAGGGTCACGTCCAATTGACTAAAAGAATCCTTATGATGGATTCCTGTATTTGCGGCCTTAGACATGCTTGCAATGTCTTCAACAGCTCCACTCTCGTGTGATAGCCAACACTGGGGCATTCATCTGCAGTTTGCTCTTTTAAGCATGCAAAACACTGATACAGAACACAGATATTACCCTGCGGGACTCTGTTTGTTACGACGCACTCGATCTACCCCGAGAACTTGGCGTCCTCGATCTTCATGATGTCTGCAAGCGCTTGCTTCTGTGTCTTCGAAGGTGGCAGTTTGTGCAGAGGGTTCCCAATACGCATTCCAAGGAAGGCAGCCGAGCGACCACACATCATGGAAGAGCAGAGCAAGAGACCTGCTACCACTTTTCGGGCACGATACGTGACAGTCTGCAAGTCGAAGCCTCCACGAGCGTCCACGTCAGCATCAACCGATAGCTTGTCCGCGTCTAACCGGTTGCCAAAATTACCAGGTTTATTGGTGTTGAGCATGACAACTGTAACGGGGTGAATCGTTACATAACAATTTGTAAGAAATTGTTAATAGAATATAACTATAAGAGTTATATTCTCAGAATATTGTCATAAGGACAAATATTCTGTAGCACTTACGAGTAGTTCCTAATTGGTTGATATAGGCCATTATATCAACCAACGAAGACGCGCCACGACAGACGCACGCAATGAGTGGAGAGCAAATAGTTGATATGCACATTTGTATTCAGACATAGTTAGATGAGGATAAATAGTGATTTATTGCAGACATTAACTATTATAAATACAGCTCTACTTTTTACTTTAGCCAAGTACTCGCTTCTTCTTACCGTCTTCCTCTGCACGTACGAGTGTACGTGAAGTTACGAGGCACCGCCTTATTCTGTCATCGGAATAAGTAGCTTGTACTGTCATCAGTACAAGCTTCAGGGTGCCCCGTTACACCTGGTAGCACTTCGTAGTCCGTCCAAGGACCACGTTCACATCTAACATGAATATGTTGGATGATGAAGATGACCAAAGCTTTCACACTACGCGTGGCGGCTACTTTCATTAGAGAGATGTCGAATGGGATGCGGTTGAACGGATGTGTTTAACCATGGGCATCCATGCTGTTAGCGTCATGCTAGAGGCTCTCAATAGAGATGCCCAACATGCTACTATCGCCAAGTTCATTCAAAATGAACTTGACGCCAAACGCGAGAAAGTAGCCTTGCTTCACCAACAAGGTTCTCAACAAGCAGAGTTGTTGAGAGAACAGGGTGTTCAACAGTTTGAACTGTTGAGACAGCAGCAGGCTGCTGCTGGTGGGTCGATGCACTCGCGTCGACCCGAAACCTTGAAGATTGACATCTCTAAGCATAGGGGGGGGAGTCGAAGAGGACTCCTTCTTGAGATGGTTCGTCGAATTGAATGACGCCATAAGGGCGCTTCGCATCGACGACGGTGACATGCAAGTTGCATTTGCCCAGTCACATCTGGCAGGACGTGCCAAGACTTGGGCACAGGGGCTCAAGTTGCACGACCCATATGCGTTTGGGTCGTTAGCAGTCTTCAAGTCGCGGCTCAGACAAACGTTTGAACCGCCTAGAGCTGAGTTCAGAGCTCGAACCGAACTCTTGAAGCTCAAACATGGTAAGCGTGATGTACACGCTTACGCGCAACATTTACGACACCTCACGAGTTGTATAAGTCCGGTGGATGAACACACGTTGGTTTCGGTGTTCATGCAGGGTCTTGCGGATGTTCCCGTCAAGACTCACCTGTTCCGGCTTGAGCTAGATTCACTAGAACAAGCCATTTCCATTGCGGAACAGGAAGACTTCAGTCTGAGACAGGCTCGCGCCAGCTCGACATCATATCGTCAACCGAGACGATATGACAACGGAGGTCCAGAGCCGAAGGAACTCTGTTATGCAGAGAGCGAGAAGGCTCGCTCTACAGACTACAAGAAGTTGCAGAAATGCAACAGATGTCAGAAGACAGGACACTACGCTTACGAGTGTAGTGCCCCTCGTCCAGTGTCTCGCAACACTGGGCGTAGTGACCGTCCACCCATGAGAAAGGGGCAGGGACGCGGGTCCGCTGTTGGTGTAAAGACGCAACAACGGGATGGACCGTCAAAAAACGGACAGGATCAGTAGGTGCGGAGCACCCTACTGGTCCAGCAACGTCAAGAGAATTTGTAGGCCTCTTGATGAAGGTTGCTCCCAACACACAAACGTTGTGCGTTGCTGCTCTAGGTAATGAGGTCTCACTCATTACCTTGAAACTCGAAGTGACGAATAAGTTGTCCCTTCGAGCTCTAGTCGATTGTGGGGCGTCCAACAATTTTGTGCGACGCCAATCGCTAGAAGATGGTCACTTTAAATTCAGTGAATGTGACACACCTTCTACGAGGATGACGGTACGTCTTGCGACAGGCGCATCCGTAACCGTCATGAAGCGTATAGTGAAGATCCACTATACGCTAGAAGATACCCAATATGACGATGACTTTATCGTACTGGATTTGGATGACAAAGTTGATGTCGTCCTTGGAATACCGTGGCTCAGAAGGTACGAACCACGGGTAAACTGGCAACATCTAACAGTAACGATGCCTGCCGCTTGTTCATCAGATGGCCATCTGATGAACGTTCTGGAGCGTCCTCAAGCGTGTGGATGTACAACGAGTGAGTGCGATGGCCTCACTTGTGGTACGGTCGTTAGTACGACTGCACAAAACCTTAGCGTAACAAAAAGTTACACTTCGGAGCAAAGTCCCGGCGGCTGTGAGGAAACACAGGCTGCGCCGAAGGTCCACCACTCGAATAAGTCGAGTGGACCGGGACAAAGATGTATCCCTAGCGGGAAACATCTAGAAGAGAAACAATCGATCGCTCAGGTTAAGCGAAACGATAATTCTAGATCGACTGGAGAGTCTTTCGTAGAGGATCTCGCTGTGGTTGCGCAACCCCAGTCTGAGGAAGTTAAGGGAATAAGTCCCAAGATTACAAACACGGCGGAAATTGGTTTCCCGAAACCCGCGGGAATAAGTTCCCGGGAAGCCGAAGGAATAAGTCCTTCAAAGCCTGAGGGAATAAGTCCCCAGGAAATGACAGAGACATTGAATGTCTTAGTCAATAACGGATCAAGCGTAGGCGCTTATACACTTGATCTGATTGCGCCTCCAAAGTTGACTTCGGAGATCACTCAGTTGCCAACGCTCGAACATAAAAGGTTCTTGCGTGATCTGCGTAGTGTCAAAGTCAAGCAGATCTGCGTACTCGTCGCTGACGACGAGTGTGTAGCCGAAATAAGGTCAGCAACAGTGTGTACTGAGAACGAGAGAGTTCTCAGTAGTTCATCTATGGACGAGAGTGTCCTAGGTGAAAAGACACGAGCTGAGCGATATGACTCCCAAGCGTGGGAATTGCTCAAGACAAATCCTCTCTATGAAGATTTGGTTGAATTCAAGGATGTATTCCCTGAAACTGTTCCGTGCGAATTACCGAAGGATAAAGGTACTCGACACGAGGTCGAGCTTAAACCAGGCTCGAAGTACTGTGTCCTGAAGCAGTGGTCACTGCCTCGTGAACAAGTACTTGCGATCGACAAGTTCTTTGCCGATCGTTTAGCTGCGGGCCATGTGAGGAAATCAACTTCCCCACATAGCTCTCCGACCTTCTGTGTGCGAAAAGCAACAGGAGGGTGGCGGATAGTGCATGCATTTAACAAGTTGAATGCTGCAACGGTACCGGCTCAGACGCCGATACCGAGGAAGGACGTAATCATTGATGGTATGTCAAAGAGTACCATCTTTTCGTCCATGGATTTGATGGATGGCTCTATCAAATCCTTATGCGAGAACGGGATATACCCTATACCGCAGTTAGCACGCCTAGCGGCATGCCCTGGGAATGGCTAGTAATGCCACAAGGGCTTAGTAACGCCACTGCCACGTTCAACAGATGTGTATCACATCTGTTGAGACCAGTGCGAGAATTCGCGCCGAGTTATTTCGATGACGTATTCATCCATAGTCGGGCTATGGATGGAAAGTCGGATGTTGAGTTACACAGGTACCACGTCCGACAGGTTCTTACAATCATGCGAAAGCATCAATTGTATGCAAACCTCAAGAAGCGTATATTTGCAGCAAGCGAAAAACCACTTCTTGGGTGCATCGTTGGTAAGAACGGTGTACGTCCTGATCCCGAAAAGATCAAGGCGATCACCGACTGGCCTGTGCCAGTTGATGTCAAAGGTCTTCGAAAATTCCTTGGGCTAGCGGCGTATTTGCACAAGTATTCACGCAATTACGCCGAGATGACTGTACACCTCTCTCGTTTGTTGAAAAAGAACGAGAGGTGGTTATGAAACGCTGAATGTCAGCGCTCCTATGATGGTATCAAGCAGAGCTTGATACAATCCCCAGTCCTAGCAATAGCCGATCAGGACAGGCCATTTCATGTGGTCTGTGATGCCAGCGATTTTTCAATCGGCTGTGCATCAATGCAGTACGATCTTGAAGGCGTTGAACGCGTCGTCTGCTATCAGTCGCATCAGCTGCAACCAGCTGAGCGGAACTATCCAGTGCATGACAAGGAACTCCTTGTCATGAAGTATGCACTCGCGAAGTTCAGAGTCTATCTATTAGGAGATAGACCCTTCATTGTTTACACTGACCATGCGTCATTACGCACGGCAGTGAACAGCCCGCACCTTTCACAACGAATGGCGCGGTGGTTGTTATTCTTTGCAGAATACAACTTTTACGGTCGAGTACAAACCAGGACGACTTAATGTCGTCGCTGATGCACTCTCACGTCGTCCCGACTTTGAACCAGCCGTGAAACCCAACAGTGAGACAGTCACTGTTGCGGTTATGACGTCCTCAGTCCCATCTACAACGTTGCATGATGATGTGAGGCGGGCATACGCCCAAGATGTTGATTATTGTGAAGTTGTTGACACATCTCTCACAGCCATCTCGAGAATCGTTAAAACGATTGTCGTCTGCGTGTCGATCTGATGCAGATCGATACACTACTCGCAACGGTTTACTGTATTCTAAAGACATTACTGGTGACACACCACGTGTTGTCATTCCAGATGATACTGATCTGCGTTTGCGGATCATGTTCGAGTATCACGATGCTCCTATAGGAGGACATCGTGGCTGGGAGAAAACATATCTAACGGTGAGTCGAGACTTTTACTGGCCCCGCCAGTATCAGTTTGTGCGAAAGTATGTTCGCGCATGCGAAGTCTGCCAACGAGTGAAGTCAAGTCCTTCACTGCGTGCACCTTTACAGCCTCTACCAGTTCCGGCTGAGTGCTGGGAATCCATCTCAATGGATTTCGTCTTCGGGTTACCCAAAGACGCACGCGGGAATACGGGTATTCTCGTATTTGTTGACAGATTCAGCAAAATGGTACACCTTGTGGCTGTACCAGAGACAATCACGGCAAGTGGCTGTGCTTGTGTCTTTATTGACACCATCTTTCGACTTCATGGGTTGCCCCGTGAACTCGTATCAGACAGAGATCCACGATTCACTGCTGATTTCTGGCGTTCCGTGTTCAAATCACTCGGAACGCGCTTGGAGATGTCGACATCTAATCGTCCTGAGTCAGATGGTCAGACAGAACGTGCCAATCGTGTCCTCGAAGAGATACTTCGAGGATACGTACACTCCTTTAAGAGTTGAAGTGAGTTTTTGTCAATGATAGAGTTTGCCATTGACAACTCGGTGCATGCGTCCACGACACATACACCGTTTTACGTGAATGGCTTACGCCATCCGCGTGTACCCACCTTACTAGAGTGTAACTCTGGTTTAAAGGGGGGAGGGACTCGCGCGAGCAAACACCGATTTGGTTCACGCTCATCACGCTCTGACAAAGAGGTCATTGCGTTTGATGCCGAAATCGATAACATCGATATCGAAGAAGATGATGCCAGTGAGAGTGCGGAAGCCCTCACTGAAGAAAAGGTTGATGTTGCTGCAGTGCACTCACAGCGCACTGAATCTAACGAGTAGTCAGATGAGTTCATACTGGCTCGTGAAACGGTAGTCCGTTTTGTGCAAGATTCCATCGCCGAAGCGGTGGATAAGCAAAAGCAAAACGCTGACAAGAATGGAAGGGCAAACACTCTTTTATTTAATAAAGGTGACTTAGTCCTACTGTCTACGGTTAATCTACCAAAGCATGTAGTGACTAACTTGGGTAGCAGTAAACTACTACCCAAGTACATTGGCCCATTTCGTGTATTGCACCGCCTAGGCAATGCATACACGATCGAGTTACCACGTAAGATGCGAACGCATCCCACGTTTTACGTTGGTCGGCTTAAGCCGTACCATCAGTACGCTGCTTCTTCCGATGAAGAACGCCCTTGCGCTCAAGCATCTCACAGAGAGCCTTGTGCTCCCGATGGTGGGCATCAACAAGGGTCTGAAGAGCAGCTATCTCAGCCCGAGACCGATCAGCAATCCCACGAGCTACCCTTAGCTCGTCACGAAGAGATGTCAGAGCTCTCTCGTTCTCAAGCTGAGCAAAGGCAAACTCAGCTCGATGCCTCGAGACAGTGTCCGCCAGTTGGAGACGCCTGTCCCGCTCATGTTCGAGATCGTTACGTAACCCTTGCGTTACGCGATCAAAGAAGCTCTCGGGAACACACGGATCCCCACGATCGTGTGGAGAGCGTCTTCCCTCCTCCTCCACCTCCATTAGAGGACTCTCGCGGTGGCCAGCGTTATCTAGTTGAGCAGCTGTTGATCCACCGCGACGTGAACGGACGTCGGACGAGTTATCTCGTCCGGTGGCGTGGCTATCCCCCGTCCTGGGATTCTTGGGAGCCCCGCTCCCAACTGATGGTTGACGTACTGGGTCTGGTTGAGCAGTACGACGCGGCACATCCTGTGCCGCAGAAGGACCGCCGGAGAAAGTCTTCCCGGCACGGTCGTAAAGGGATTTCAGGTCGTCAATCCCTTCGCACATCTCAATAGAGATACGAATGCGCTACCACGGGCTAGAAAGAAGGTAAGCCTCCTTAGGTGCTCGTGCAGAGTTGTTCACACAACATGGGCACGAGTCTCCCCAAGAGAGGCAGGGTAACCCTTTCTCCCTTGACAGACGATGCAGCTTGTAGAGT